AAAAAAAAAAAAAAAAAAAAAAAAAAAAAAAAAAAAAAAAAAAACAAGGTATGGGAAAGAAGACAGATGCAAGACCTTGTTGGGCAAAGGGGAATGCCACTGCTTATCTTTAGGAAAGAGGAGGTCCATGCACTCCCTAGTCCTTCTCCAAATCTTCAGTGAACTCTTGAAAATCCTTATCTTTGAGGGCTCCTTTTGAGGTTAGAGAGCAATCAGCGGGTTTCTCTGAAAAGTTGAGTCAGTCCCTAGGTGTGTTCCCTGTTTAAGCTCATAATAACCTGCACAGGTGTGGACATGGAGGACAGGCACCTTTCTGATGAGTAGCTTGAAAATAGATGGCCTTGGATTTGGGGTGACGATTATATTTTTGTGCCATGTCACTCCCATCTAGAGTTCCATGAGGTTTTTTTGGTGGTCAAAAGTGTATTTCCTAGCCACTTTGGTTTGGGGGAGAAGCTCTAGTCTCTCTTAGTTGTTTGATATACCTGAGTTGGCCATGAACACAAAGAGAAGCCCTTATGTTTTCTTGGTAATAAGGACTCAGTACCTGTTAGTCAGGTCTAAATATTTGAGACACACTCTTCAGTCACAGGGCCACTTCTGTAGCTTGCTTCATCAAAGTGGTGTGCCTCAGACTCCTCCAATACAGACAGAGGAAGGCTAAAGTTGTATTATTCAAAGAATGTATGTTACTACAGCCCCTATTTGGCATATGATGGAAGTCAGGGGCTACTGTGGTTTGGGAAAATAAGTCCAAGTCTCTCTTCAGAAGAAATTTCAGAGAGGTGTCAGCTCCCTGAATTAGTGAGTTAGATTACGTCTGAGGGGGATATCCAAGACCTGATAGAGATTTTAACTGAGGCATGAATTGTCCTGGTTCTGGAAGGATAAGTCTGAAGACATGTTGTGACTTTGCCAAAATTCTATGGCTCATTGTTTCTAAAAGGGTCGTTTTTATGACCTTCTTGGGACATTGGAGTTGTCTGAGTCCACTTGCTTCTCAAGTTGTAAGTCCTAGGTCCCCTTCAGTCATTGAGAATGTGTGTGACACTTTTGTTCTGAAGGTGTAAGAATGAGGTTGTTTAGCAATTATTGAATGTCTGAGATCTCCTGGATCTCAAGGGAAAATAGTGTCAATGTACCCTTGAACAATGTGAAATGGCTGAAGGACAGTTTTGGTATTGAGGGGATACTAGTTTGAAACTCCCTTTGCCTAGAATCAAACCAAGCCCCCTTGGTTCTAGACAGATAAGATTGAGGCTACCTGGGCCATTTGGGAACATCTGAGAAATCTCTGGTTCTGAAGGACAGGTCAGAAGCCCCCTCTATCCAAACAAGAGTTTGGAATATCTGTGCTTCTGTAGTGGTAGGGCTATAGCCTGTTTGAGAATTAATGTTGCATTCCCATTCCTGGTTCAGAAGAGATGTGCCTTAGCACCCTGTGAGTCCTTGATAACAGTTTGAGCTCCACTTCAGTCACTGGGGAAAGTATGAGTAAATACTCCTGGGTCTGAAGGAATATGTTTGAGGCCCATTTGTCAGGAACCCAATTTTCAAAACACTAGTACAGGGTAAGGATATTTGAGGCATCTCCAGGAAAACAGGGAATTTGAGGACACCATTCTTTGGAGACAGAATGTCTCATGCTGTGTTTGGGAAAACAGAAAAGTCAAAGGGTCTAGAAGGGAGCAGTGGAAAATCAAGAGTCAATTTGGAGATTAGTGAATGCCTGAATATTTCCTTTTCTAATCTTCATGAGCATGTAGAGCAACCATGTCATGCCGGGCAGGCAGCAGTATGATCAATCTCCAAGAAGCTAGAAGGCAATTCTCAGCTAGGTCTCTGGACCAATTCAGCTAACTACTTCTGGACATGAAGGGTCTAGCTTCTTTATTTCTGCTAATAAAGTTTAGGCACATATCCTGGGTTTAGGGCACTGCTGGATGCTGTAATGTTCTAGGACTTCAGGTACCAGGGTCATTTTAATTTTGGACAGAGGTCATGCAGTCAGATGATTAGAACTGGAAACACTCTGAGGATCTTAGACAGAGTTGTTCTGTGACCTGCTAGGTCAGATGATGTCAGTCTTGGGCCACATTAGTCAGAAGGAGTGTATGCTATTCTAAGTGGGTCACAGATTGTATAGCATGTTCTAGGTAGAAGCTGTGTCCTATTCTTAATTAAAAGGGAAATACCTACCTTCTGAGACTGATGTGATACCTCAGTGTGCATCTGAGGTATCCAGGAATGGAAGTCAAAGGTTTCATAGATGTTTGATGACAAGGACAAGTTCTAAACTCCTATTGGTCCTGTGGGGCACAGCATGGGAAAAGATAAAGTCCACTTGTAGATAAGATCTAAAGATGCCATGATAAGAGAGAGTAGGGCCTATGCTCCACTCTTGAGATGAGCATCTTTAGAACTTCATTTTGATGGAATTGTAAGGTCTGAAGCCTTCATGGGCACAATGGGTATGTTGGCAGCTTGCTAAGGCAAAAGTTAACATTTTGGCTCATTCTTGAATAGAAGGTACATTTCTGAATTCCATTTGGTCACAAGGAGCATACCTGGGGCTCAGTGGGTTGGATTGGCTATGGGTGTTGCTCACTCGTTCAGAATGAAACATTCCAAGGCTGCTTTGAACAGTGTAGCCATTGGAAAGTCTGAGGCCCCTTTGGTTATATTGAGATGGTCTGATACCTACTTGAGAGGAGAGGCTAGAACCCCGGTTCTGTTTTTGCAGCAGGATTCTTTGGACACTGCATGGGACTGACCATGAATGTATGTCGTCTCCATGGACAGAAGGGTCACATATGGGGACCCCAAGTTCATACGAGATGACTTGTCTCCCCCATGGTAAGAGAGGGAAGATTTCTGGACCTCTGGTTGAAATGGGGTGTTTACAATTTTTTTTTTTTTTGACAACAAGGAATGCCGTGGGACTCTCTTTTTGACCTAGTAAATATATGAGTCCCAATTGAACAGGCAGCAACCCCCCCCATCCTCTCTGACACTAGTGGAATTTTTAGTCCCTCTTGGACAGAAAGAGCATGTCTAAAGACCTTCTTCATAGACATCAATCCTCTGTGGTGATGAGAAATGTTTGGCATTCCCATTGGGGCTGTCTCCATCCAGAGATGAGTTGAAGATTTATTTAGCTGGTGGGGAAGTTTTTATTGCTTTTTGAGTATAAGGGGAATGTCTGAGTCTTGTCCTGGTAGAAGTAGTAGAAGTAAGGCTGGAAGTCTCATGGGAAAAGGTGGAATGTCTGAGGATCTCTTCAGTAAAGGGAGTAACTTCCATTTCCCCTTCTGTAGAGATGGAACATTCTATGTTCCCTTCAGGATTAGCTTTTGCTGTCTGATCCATTTTGGCAGATGGAAAATGTCTGAGCCATCTTTTTGAGAAAGCAGAATGTTTCCAGCTCTTGTGTTCTAAATGGGAAGCGTGAACATCTGCTTTGCCAGAAGGGGCCTTTTTTGATTAAGTTTTGGTAGATTTTGGAATGTCTTGGGAAGCCTTGGGGAGAAGGATGCCTTCTGCAGTCACCCAGAGATCGTGAGGATCTGCAGGCTCCCTTAGAGATGGCAGGTTCTATTTTTTCTTGGGGAGTAACTTTTTTTTTTCTCCCTTTTAGAAGAAGAATGTCTGGACCCTTTTTTTGTCCAAGAGGGTTGTTTGCAGCCCTCATCTTCAGAGGGGGAATCATAAACACTTGCTTTGTTAGAGGGGACCTGTTCCAATTTGGTTTTGATAGACCTGGAATATTTATGGCTGCCTTGGGGAGATACAGAACTTCTGCCACCTTCCTCATGAGATTGTGAGGATCTGCAGCCTCCCTTAGAGCTGGACGGTTCTATATACTCTTGAGGAGGAGGTTTTGGTTTCTGGTCCCTATTGGAAGATGAATGTCTGGACCCTGATTTGGACAAAGAGCGTAGTTTTCAGGCCTCGTGTTCTGAATGGGAAACATGAACATCTGCTTTGTTAGAGGGGACCTGTTCCAATTTGATTTTGGTAGATGTGGGATGTATAGGGCTGCCTTGGGGAGATGGAGAACATCTGAGGCCTTCATGAGATCGTGAGGATCTGCAGCCTCCCTTAGAGCTGGAAGGTTCTATGCCCTCATGTGGAGTAGCTTTTGTTTTCTGGTCCCTTTTGGAAGATGAATGTCTGGGTCCTATTTTTGACAGAGAGGATTGTTTGCATTGCTCATGTTCTGAATGAGAAACAGGAATATTTGTTTTGTTAGAGGGGATCTGTTCCAATTTAGTTTTCATAGATTTGAAGTGTCTAGGGATGCCATCATGAGATGAAGAACTTGTGAGTCCCTCCTCATGAGATTGTGAGGATCTGCAGCCTCCCTTGGCAGAGGGGAAATTAGTGAGGGTCTCTTTGGGCTCAGTTTTAAGTCTCACACTGTCAGAATTGGAATCTTTGCCCCCCTTTTTGGAAGAATGGTGAAGTTTCAAGTCTTCATCTTCTGATAGGACAGATGTGAGGACTGCTTCTTTTTAAGCATGTCTTAATTTTATTTTCTTCACTTTAAAATGTGTGGATCCACTTCCCGATGAGGGAGAAAATCTGAGATCTCCTTCATCAGGGGAACTAGATAGACTCAAATCTGATGATTTTGGGGGTGGGATGGTCCTTTCAGGAATAAACGTGCAACTTGAATCTTTATTGACATATACAGAAGATGTGAGACTACTTTTGACAAAAGGAAAAGATGTTAAGCCATCAAGCTCCAAAAGTGAATATCTGATATCCACTTGAGGAAATGGGACATGTCTTGACATTTTTTTTTTTTGGATTTATTGGAATGTTTAGAGCTCATTTTGGGAAAATGGGAATTTCTCAGGGAGTCTTCATGAGGATTGGGAATAAAGTTGCTAGGGGCACAAATGAACATTCTTGGAAACTCTGTTGAAAAGCAATGCCCCACTGATTCTTGGGTAGATGGCACAGATTCTAGGGCCTCTTGGACATCCTTTGGGATGTTCCCAAGTATTATGGAGAGATGTTGATGGTCCCAGATTCCCTTGGTTAGATACCAAAGGTCCCAGAACACCTTGGTTATATTTGAAAAGTCCCAGAGCCCCTGGCACAGATGGAAAAGATTCTAGAGTACCTGATACAGACCTTGAAGGTTTACAGACCTCTTTTGTAGATGGTAATGGTTCTGTTCTCATTGGACTAAGTGGGGAAGGTTGCAGAGTCTGTACTTAAGGAGGTGGAAATTCTAGATCATCTTGGGGAGATAGTGAAGCTTCTATAATTCCATGGGTAGAAGGTGGCCTTTCTAGAGTACTTTTGGTAAATGGTGCAATTTCTGGTGTCCCCTGGGGAGAGTCAGAAAGTCCAACTTCTCCTATATCAGCTGATGAATGTCCTAGGGGCCCTGAATCCAGACAAAGGCATGGAGCATGTTGGAATGACAAGGAAGTATCTGGAGATCCTTGAGCAGATGGTGAATGTCCAAGAGATCCTTGTACTAGTATGGACAATTCCAGACCCTCTTGCAAATGGGATGAAATTCCTACACAACTATGCTGAGATTGTGTAGCTCCTTGTACACTTGAACATATTGTCTGACAACCATTTTCTGAGGGAGTGGGTGCCATAGTCCCATGTGCAGGTGGAGTGGGCCTCACAGATCCTTGGTCAAGAGGAGAAAGTTCCAGAGTTTCCTCAGGAGATATTGATGGTCCTAAAATTTTATTTTCAGATACAGAAGGTTGCACAGAATACCGGGAATACCCTGAATGTCCCAGAAACCCTTGAGAATATGGTAAATGTCGAAGAGAATCCTGTGATGATGTGGTCAGTCCCAGCTCCCCCCTTGTAGACAGCACATTTTCTAAATAGATTTGCTGAGGTGGTGAATCTTGCAAAGTTACTTTCCCCCCTGAAGACACTTCCTTTAAACCTTGGTCTGTTAGTGAAGGTCTTATAGGCCCCATTTGACATGGGGCAGATTTCACACATCCCTGTTCAAATGGAGAACATTCCAGAGTTTCCTTGGAAAATGTTGGTGATCCTAGTATCCCTTGGTCACATATAGAAGAGCCCACAGCACCTTGGCAGATGTTGAAAGTCTTAGTGACTCTAGGACAGAGACCAACGTTTCTAAAAACCTTGAGACAGATTTTAAGGTCTTATAGAGCTCTTGGTAAGATGGCAAAGGTTCTGATGCCTTTGGTGTACATTCAGAAGGACTGGGAGGTTCCTCCACAGGAGCCTGGATTCCTGGTACACTTTGAGATGATGGAGCTGGTTCTACAGACTCATGGACAGATGATGATGTCTGTCTAGAACCTTGGGTAGATGGTGATGTTCCTAGACAATGTTCTAAAGTTTGAGGAAATCTACAATATCTAGGAGAAGATAGATGGTAAATATGCTAAAATCTCTTTGGCTAAAGAAAGGCCAAGATCCCCTTGGGAAGATGGAGAAGGTTCTGGAGTCCCTTGGTCATGGTTTGAATGTTGTACATACTCTTGTACTGATACGGAAGATCCCAGAGACCCTTGGGTAAACAGTGAATTGCCTAAACACCCTTGCTAATGTGGTGAAGGTCCTAGAGAACCCTGGGTAGTTATAGACAATTCTGAACACAGTTGATCTGACAATAAAGATTCCAAAGTCTTTGGTACAGATGGAGGAGGTTCCAGTGAACCTTTAGATGATGGAGAAAATTGAAGAGCTTTCCAGAGCGAAGATGACGATCCCTGAATCTGTTGGTCAGAATCACAAGGGCACAAAGCACCATGAGCAGAAATAGAATTTCCCAGAGTTGCTGGGAGAGGTGTCATAGTTCCTAGAGATCTTGATGAAGATTCTAAAAATTTCAAAACTGGTGAGATGGCAAAGATTCTGATGTCTTTGGAGTACATTGGGAAGGTCCCAGACATCCTTGGAAATGAGGCTGAAGTGGTAGAGTACCCTTCTTATCTAATGGAGCTTCTATAGCTCTCTGGACAGAAGATGACGTTTCTAGAGTAACTTTGGAAGATAATAAATTTAGCAGTATCTCATGGCAAGAGAGAGAATACCCAGCTCCTGGGACAGATGGGACCTGTTTTACAGCCCCTTGGTCATAAGAAGGGCCTAAAAATTTTGGGGAAGATGTGGATGATTCTGGAGAACATTGGAAAAGTGAGGAATGTCCAAGAGACTCTTGTGATGGAGATAATTCCACAGTTCCTTGGGTAGATGAAATATTTCCTTCATAACTCTCGTGATGTGGTGACTGTCCTAGAGTCACTTTGGCAGGAGCAGACAATTTCTGCCATACTTTGTCTTGTGCGGACTCTACAAGAGTACCTTGTGAAGTTGGGGTAGTTCCCAGAGACCCTTGAGAATATGGAGGATGTTTCAGAGACATTTGATGAGATGGTGAAGATTCTACACATTTCTGTGATGATGTGGACAGTGTCACCTTATTTTGGGAGGATAAGGAAGATCCTCCAGCATCTTGCAGTACAGAATTGAAAAGGTCAAGAGTTCCCGAAGCAGATAGGAAATTTTCTACTGGCCCTGAATTAGAGTAGGTTTGTAACCCTCTTGGGAAGATGGCAATACTTTTAATTCTCTCTGGGGAAATTACAAAGGTCCCTGATTTTCCTGGGAAGGAGATCTCAGTCGTAGATCATCTTGGGCATATGCCAAAGGTTCTGTATTCACTTGAGTATTTGATGAAAGTTTCATAGCCCCTTGAGTAGATGTGGATGATCCTAGAATATCCCTGGCAGACAGGGGTGGTCTCAGAGTCCATGAGACAGTTGGAGACATTATTAAATCCACTTGGGCAGATGGAGAAGATCCTAGAGACCCTGCATTAGATGGGGAAATTCCCAAATCTCCCGTTGAAGAATTGGATATCCCTAGATTGCCATGTATGCAGGTAGAATCTTCCAGAGTCCCCTGGGAAGACAAGCAAGGTCTCCTCCCTTCTTGGGAAGAAACTAAAGGGCATGAACTCACTTGAACAGATAAGGAAATTATGAAAGGCCCTAGGGAAGATGATGTATGTCCTAGATTCCCTTGTCCAGATAAAGGAATGTCTTTGTTCTCTTTTGAAGAAGGCATAGATCCTGAAGAGTCTGAAGCTGTTTGTTGAACCCTGTGGGCAGACTGTCAAGATCCAACAGGTCCCAGGTATGAAACAGAGTGTCCTACAGTGCCATGCCTAGGTTTAGAGAGACCAAAAGTTCCTTCTACACACAGGGAAGGTTCCAAAGGGCATTGGGAAGAATGGAAAGGACACAAATTTGCCTGGGAAGATATGGAAAGTTCAATAGGCCCATCATCAGATACCACATGTCCTATGGTAGATGTAGAAGTTTAGTATACACCTGGTGCAGATGATGAATATCCTGGGGACTCCCAGGGAAATAGCAAAGGTTCTACATCCCCTTGTGCTGTGATAGAAATTTTTGGAGACCCTGGGGCAGAATTCAAAGTTTCTACCATCTTTTTGGCATGCTGGCTATATCCCTGAGATACTGGAGTAGAGGATGAATATGCTACTGTGTTCTGTGCAGAAGTGGACTGTGAGCATGTATGTTGTGTATGTGAGGAACTGCCTGAGAGCCCTTGGGCAGGTGGAGGATGTACTACACTCCTTTGCGCAGATGTGGACAATTCCATAGACTCTTGTGTAGATAGGCAGGAACCCAAAGCATTTGAGCACAGTGAGAAGTTCCTTGACTCCCCTGGTCAAAAGAGGAAAGTCCCAGAGTTTCCTGAGGGCAAGGTAGGTATACTGAACTTCCTACATGAGATGTTTCTCTTACATGTGGCAATTGCCCATGATAACTATGTGTATTTTGGACTATTCCTTGGATGTCTTCAGCAGATAATGAGGATGCTAGAGTTCCTTTTAAAGATGCTGATGGACTCAGCAAACACTGGGCAGATACATTAAGTTCTAGAGGAAGATGAGCAGAGAATGGAGGTGCTGGATCACATGGGACATGTGTAGAGAGTTTTCTAGTCTCTTTGTTAAAAGGCTCTTGAGGGCCAGGGACAGATGGAGAGTTTCCCACAGGCTCTCTGACAGATGACAAATGGCTAAGATTCATTTGGGCAGGTTGAGATGTTTCCAGATTACCAGAGAAACACTGTAAAGGATCAAGTTCTCCTTGAGGAGATGAAAAAGTTCCTTGTGCACACACAGAAAGTTCCAGAGGCAATCCAAAATATAACAAAGGTTCAGGATATCCTGAACTTTCAGAAAGTTGGAACATTTCCTGAGAACCTGGGGCAGATATTCCAGTACCTGGAGGAGAGGATAAAGATCCTAGTGTGCTGTTCAGATTGGGAAGGATTTGGAAGTCCTGAGACAGATGGTGATTGTTGTGGAGAATTTTGTGCCGACTGAGATGTTTTCTGACAGGTTTTAGATGAAACAGGGTGTTTCTTAGTTCCTTGATTACACAGCAGTGGTGCTAGAGTCCCTTTGGCAGACACAGATAAGTCCAGAGACCCTTGGGAAAATAAGGATCCACAGGCCCTTCTGCAGCCTGAGACACTCCCAGAGAACTCTGACCAGATTGCAAAGATTCTAATAGTGTCTGGGTATTTTGGATAGACCTCAGAGGTTCTGTCATGGATGGAAAAGGTCCTACAGTCTGCTTTGAAGATGTTGAATTTCCCAATGTGCCTGTGGCAGCTAAGAGAAACTCCCCAGTGCCCTGGGAAGCAGAAGACTCCGGATTCCCTTGTGCATATTTGGACACTTTCAGAGTTCCTGGTGATGATGGGCATGTTTCCACAGTCCTTTCATCAGAATGAGAAAATAGTGAAGTCACTTGTGTTGATGAAAAGAGATCCGGATGCCCTGGTACCGATGGAAACTTTCCCCTAGTCACTTGGGTAGATGGAGAATTTGTATATGGCTCTGGAACTTCTTGGGAAGGTGCTGAACGTTGCAGAGTCCCTTCAGCAGATTGTGCTGAATGCAGCATTTCCTGGGATGACATGTTTCAGATGCCCTTGAGCAAGTTGCAAAGGTTCTAGATTCTCTTGGCCAGAAGGGAAAGATTCTGCAGATCCTTGGGTCGAAGTTAAATGTCCTCTAGGCACTAGAGGTGATGGCAAAGCTTCTATAGTCCTTGTAGCAGACTAAGAATTTTCCACACCCTCTCTCACACATGACAAAT